AGTCCATTGACATTCCTGGTGTCTTTGACCTGGAGAGTTCAAGAACAGGAGAGGGAGCGAGTGGAGGAGGTATTTACTGACAGTAATGGTTAGTTTTCCGTGTAATGTGCACCAATAAGGCCATGACTGGCCTGCTTTTTCTGAGATAACCATCGGAATGTTTGGACTTGCAGCGGTGCTGCCGCTGAAGTAATTTGGTCCATTCATGTATATTCTTTTCATTTTTTTGTATATGATGTTGCGATGTCTCTCCTCTCAGTTGGTTGTTCGTGGGCATGGACCGTGTATGGCAGTATACCTCCCATTATTCATTTTTTTGTTGACTTCGAAAAACACTGCTATGCTTGTGTGATAACTTGGGACAGTAGAAACAATCTTCTATTAAAGGACTTAATTGATATTAATGTTTTGTGTGTGTAGAAAAGGTATTGGCGTCAACCTCTGCAACATTAACCCCAAACTAAATCTAAACAGTCTTAATTAATGGGTTAGATTCAACTTTTAACATTATATGATAATTCGGATAAAGTCGATGTAGAGAAATATTGACAGCCTTTTAAACGTAAAAATAGGTTTATTTTTCCAATTGCTTGATAATTCTTTTGAAAACTGTGATAGATGGTTGATCCTGCTCCCAACTTCCCCATGGAGAATAGTAAAAATCCAATGATACTTCTTACCGTTTATATAATTTTCAACAGAAGGAAATATAAGAGTCATGTAAGGCGAAAAATTCGAATGACCTTTTTACCCCCAAGGGAAACAAAATCAATCACGTTCGCCGTAACAAAATATACACCCTGCTAGACTTCTCGTCAAACTCTGACCCTAAGAATTCCAGTGGATGGTGCTCGTGCCCTTTATTTTGATGATATATACTCTCTCTCTCTTGCTCTCCTCACGGAGATGGGGAATGATGATATGATACTCGTATCAGCATACCGCTTGTCGGGCACAAATTCTTGGTGTCGCTCCATGGGCGTGAGTCATGGATTGAGCGATCGTCCAGCCAACAGTAATATAAAGGTCTGGGGTAATCGTGTGGTAGTCTGACATTGCGAGACTTGTAGGCACCAGTGGTGTGTTAATGCAGTCCTCTCTCTGGTTAACATGTTGTACTGAAATATGTGAGCATTTGCTTCATCTCATTCAAGAGAGTCAAATGTAATCATAATATAGGCTTGCCCATTGTACGCTTTACATGCATTGATAACTCCACAGAAAAAACAAAAACAAAGACCGATGATCGATGAGTCGATCAGTGTTAAAGGTAATAATTATACAACTGTACAACATTTGCAAACATTAAAAAAAAAAACCTGACAAATTTTTATGAAATACCTTGCTGGACAGTTCGTGCATGACAGTCTAAAGCATCCTGTAAAATCGTGGCACCTGGTGTGCTCTCATTTTCAAGAAAAGTCGGCCGACCAGCATTGGACAAACTGTTGTTTTTTTCAAATATGTACTGCCCCCAATTTACCATATTTAGTTAGTCCGCATTTTGTTTGCAATCGATTACACACCTATGAACGGGTACAAGCCAGTTACACTTGTTCCCTGACCTTACAATTCCCGACGTCGATAAATTGCTCTGTTTCATCTTATTAGTGGGATCAGGGAACCAGACTACAGGAACATGATTGTTTTCTGTGTTTTCCCAGCATCTACGAGCACAAAACTTTAATCAAGTCGTGTAACAATATTTGCTATAAAATACTAACCCCCAAATTTATCAATTTCTGAAAATTACAGCAAAAACAAATGTTGTATATTCCCTTTGATGTTGTTTGGTACTGCTTGAGAAGAAAACTTTCCTGATGGTCGTTTAATTAAAGACATCTTACGTTTATTTTCTTTAAACTGAAATCTGTGATGTACATTAAATTCTGGAGTTTTGTTTGTACCTATATAGCCGTTAGTACTTTGTAGTCATAAAAAAGATATAGGCCTAAGTCTGAGCATTGAGCTTTAAACAGCTATATTTATAGCTCCATGGTCTGAATCAGTTTAAATCGTACAGATATCTTGGTGCAGTCTTCCAAAACCGATCAACAAATTTGCCACGTTATGTTTAACAGGGGTCACTTTTTAGCAATTCGGTAAAAGGGCTGTAGGTAAGAGAGAAAGTTAGGATTTTTGAATTATTTCGCAAGAAATCCATGTCGCTTAACAAAATATTATCCAGAAGAAGGGTCTTAAAACCACCAACTTGCCTCTTTATTGTGATCTATCCGTAGATTAACAATCTTGCCATATGAATGTATCACCTAGTTATCATACCAAGATTTCTGGCCTGTTTCCGGCTGCCATGTTGTCCACAATATAGCGGCTGTGATTTAATACTGATCGTACAAGAGCCATCTGGGCAACTATTTTTATCCCCCAAAATTCCACTTATTAATTAAACACATGTCGAACCGACAAGTGTTCAGTTGATAACACCCGAAGGCCGAGCCATTTACAATAATAATAATAATAATAATACCCTACTGATGTTGGACTCTATTGCATTGACTACGCATAGGCGCGACCTCCGGAGTACATGTTCTGCTAAATATAAATATGCATTTTGATTGGCCAAGACGCTAAGGTAAGGCGTTTGGATTATCTGAGCATTTCCCATGACTCTCTGCCATCCACTAGATGCCCAAGTCTGCATCCCAGCAATCTTTGGTACAATCATCCGGTCGTTCTGGTTATATCCCCCTGGGCGAATGGTATCCAGATGGTGGCGCATTATCTTCTCTCGACCCCATTATTAAAAACAAGAGTTCAGTTTCCAGCTAGCAGCACATGTTACGTTCATGGACGGGGCTATGACGTATTTCACCCTGCTGGGGAGCGAGGTTTAGGTTGCATTCTGAATCCTCCCCTGATTACTAATAATCACTCACGTTAGCTCCTGTCGCACGAAAGGCGCGTGCTCGGTCTGACCAGAAACACTGCGCTATTTTATGGGTTATTATTTCAATCACGGACTTAAAGAATGAAAAAAAGCAATTACAGTGATGACGGCAGTCGAACATCTAAGGCTTATTCTGTGGAGCATGCCAAAACGTAAGATTTGAAGGTTTGCATGGTGAACTGAGCAATAAAAGTAAGTTTTCGGTTGCACCTTGAAAACATTATTCTCTGCACATATCACGCACCGTCACAGTGTTTTGCGCCGTTCGAGTTCCCAGCTGGAAATCTTTTGGACTTTTGAAATTACGATCAACGGACAAAGGCTCCGAATTTGCCGCCACTGCCACAGCGTGCAGTCCTACATCGGGCCATCTTCTCCTAAATCGGGTGGGGTTGGTGTTTAAAGGGTCGTAATAATACGGGAAAAGCTCTTAGTAAGGTGTATGCAGTGAGTACACTGTGTACCATAAAATGGCCGTTTGACAAAAAATTTAATTGTTTTGAAGTTAATCAGTGCGCACCGGATATTGCACCTCCGTTTAAGTCATGTGGAGGGATGTAAAAAATGTTACTCGTGTCATAACTGTAAAGTTAACAGTTGCCGTGTACCGGACGCCGGAACTACATCCATAGGAGAGATCAAAATAGCTGGGATGCTTGGTCCAACCTCAAACATCTCGAAACGATTTCAAAGTCAACGTGACAATGTGCATACCGTCTGCGAGGCACTGGGAGGGCTGCCCCCAGGCTGGGGCTCGCAATGACGTCAAGGAAGATGGAAGCGATATGGGGTTGCCATGTTATCAGTGTCAAGTTGTTAAACGATCAGCGTTGCTATTCAGAAAATGTCTTCCTTTTCTGTTCCGAATGGAGAAGTTGAAGCCCTCAAAACATTTACTGGGACACAAACAGTGAACCCCTGTCTTCGGTGTCGTGTCATGTCATAATCAGTTCATAGCGTAATTGGGATATGTCTTTTACAAGTCTTTGAGTTGTCCTTAGTGCACGCTTTGTACGTGGTTTTGTTATTCCATCGTTTATTGAAATCAAATAACTCACATTGCATTATAAATTGTTGGAATTCTTTTACGCTTGTTAATTGCCTTGTGATGCCATATCGGTTCTCAAATCTTTTTCGACCGCAGCAACTAGCATATACATCATTATTTGGCTGATTTCCAAGTTCTTTGGAGGAAGTTTACCTGATGACGTCATTAGCAAGACCTTTCTTTGGTTCTTAGTCAAAACTTCGTTGGGTATACAAGTGCACAGTTTCCCCGTTCAAAGTCTTTAAAGTAATTCCAACTTTTCTAATGCCAAGTTGGCAGAACAAACACGAAAACTGACTGGAGTGGGATTTGAACCTGCCATAATACCAAATGGAGATATCGATACCTATGGTGCCGGTTTCCAAATTTGGGAGTGTCTTTGTTCATTTGGCACTCGTCAGAAGCGCACGATCCCTGCCTGAATGGCAGTATTAAGTACGGATTAATGGCTTTTGACATGCACCCTTTTAATCAAGATTATTTTACACATTTTTGGAAACAGCCGCTGTGTTCGGGCTGGATATCTCTGGTGTACATCAACGCGTGTGTTTGTGAAAAAAAGATTTAAATTCCGCTCTAGGCATTTTCAATGAACCTTATTTTGGTTGGAAGCGAACTTTGGTGGTCTCCCTCTCTGTGGTTTTATTTGACAATGGCAGACTTTATTTTACGTTTGGCCCATTTGGGAAAACACGCAAGTTTAATGATGTTATCCTCAGGCTTCGAGCTGAATTAATTCCATGCACAATTTAAAACAACGACTTGTTTCGGATTATCAGAGATAAAATAAAAAACAAAAGCTGGTGTAGACTTTATAGAGTAGATGACTTATAGAATATCTCGATTTGATTTAAGATATTCCATTTCACTCTAAAATAAAAACCGTGTTGATCTTAAATTTTTGACTGTCTGATTTTGTTGTGTACACGTAATACAACCAAAAATGAAATATCACCTATTTTTATGGTCTTTTTTTTTTTCAATTAAAAACAATATTTTTTGAGGATTCATCGTAAGCTGATGTTGTTTGTTTTTGACCTGTAGGTGAATCGGGTGAAAGGACGGAATCTCATGCGGACGTTACTGTCTCAACGAGACGAGTGCCTTCCATCCAAGTTGAGCCTATCGTCGAAGAGAGAATCATTCCAATAGGCTTCCATGTTTCGTCTCACCCTCCGTCAAGCAAGATGGAGAAGTCAACGAAGAAGGAGATCTCAAGGCTTGAGTTCTCCTTGGGAGAGGCTGGGTCGCATTCAAACCAACAGCACCAAGCACTTGAAGGGGCAAGCCAAACAGCCGCCACTGATGATGTTGATGTACCGCAGTCATCAGCTGGAACTGCTGCCGTGGACACCAAACAAGTAAAAGACGAGCCAGGAATCTCCAATGTGCCGTCAATATCTACCAGTGAGGTTCCAGAGAGACTGACAATGGACGAGCCCATAACTGCTGAGCAAACGGACTCACAGCAAAACCGTAGAGACAGCCTCGGTGTCCCTCCTGTCATCACAGGAGAAGAGGCCTATCCTGAAGGGGCTCCACCTTCCACCGATGACTATCAATCCGCTTTTGTTTGGGTTAGTGAACTAGCTGTTGCTAGTTCAGAGAGACCATTGATATTGGAGCCCGGTAAAGGTGTGAGTATGACAGTCGAGGCAGACGACTTTGTTGCACATTCGTCGCTCGCTGAAAACCAGTCTGCTCTTATGTCTTCTCAAATTTCTGCACTGCCGTTTCTTCCACCAAATGATGGGGATAAGATGGACAAAAGAATGCACAGTTTGGATGTACCTCCCATAATAACTGGCGAGGTGTGTTTTCCATCAACCATGCTCACTGGTTCTGACGGACAAAGAGTTGAAGAAGACCAAACAAATAATGGACAAACTGCTTCCGCGAGGAAAATCATAAAAATCAGACCAAAGAGTCTTGATATTCCTCCGATAATGCCCGCTCCGTACTCAAGAAATTCACAGAGTGCACCGCCCTCTCCTCCTTCCAGCCCCGGTCATGGAGTCAAAAGGAAGCACAGTAGTGCCAAGTCGATCCTGAAGAGAAGCGGAAGCATGGAGAGGCCGGGTCGGAAGAAATCGGTCTCGTTTTCCCCCGAGGTGTCTCCTCGAGAGTTTGAGGTAGAAAGATGCCACGACGTAGATCGCGAGCGCCTCAACGCGCCAAAGAGACCTCGAGTCTTCCGCCACTTTAGCATGGACATTCCGGACGCAAGGCTCGCATCCGAGGAGGACATTTCGTTGTCCACTCCGCATCAGGCCTGGTCACACGGGGACTTAGACGACAATGACTCCCCTCCCGTATTTTCTCCCGCCGCTCTCGACACAAGTGACAATCTGTCGAGGGCGGAGGGATGGGTCCATCCTTCTCCCCTAGAGCCTATGCAAATAGAGGGATCAGACGCAAGAATGGCCTTTGTACCCATTTCCGCGCTGGTGTCTGACGAGGGCGGCAGAAAGAGTGCCAAGGAGCGTTTCCTTGAAGCAGGAGGCGCTAAAGCTGTCTTGTCGGTGCTTTGTACCCAGGACTCGAGCGACTCCAACGGCAGCAAGTACACCTCGACGTCTGCTGCGGAAGCCAGCAACGATGCAACGACAAACGACGGTTCCGAAGAGGATTCAATGGAAACAATGCCAGATATTGATCAACCACTGTCGTTGTCAGGTGACGCAGAGACCGACCCTTTAAATGACGACAGCGTAGTCCTGCTTGAAGACCTTGCTGCTAAAGATCAGCAAGACAGCAAAGGCATTAAGTCACGCTTCTTAGAGTACAAAGAGGACAGTGCCGATATCCATACGTCAAGATTATTTGTGCAAACAGTTCGCAGCTCCATCGAGTCCGACTCATCGGATGAACAAGACAGGTCACCTGTTCAGCCACAAGAGGCAAAGCCTGACGTCAAGCATGAAGCTACATGTGAAGAAGCGGGAGATCAGACAAGTGCCAAGAGTCGCTTCTTACAGTCCTGTCAGGAGGTCAATGACGATGGTGAAGTCCAGAATGGCTCCCGTTTCGTCGTCTCGGTGGTGCGGCCCTACAACACGGGCTGTCACAGACAGGATTCCCCTCCGCATGGTAAGATTGCACTTTTACATCGAGCCACTCACCTTGGCAATGGCGTCGGTAACCTTTTTGGGTGATGAGGCTGATCCCCCATCGCCCTTTGATTAAATGGTATTCAATGGCCGTAGTGTTATGTTTCGCTATTCCATCACTTGACCAACAGAGCCCTTTGTTTTGGTGGCGGTTGCGAATGCCTCGAATATTCTTTCTTAAGATGCCAAAGCCCCGAACCTGCCTTTGCAAGGGTGGTACTAAGTTTTACATTATACACAATGGTTTCTCCGTCTAAGGGGGTCTCGTACGTGTGGTGTGCACTCTTCTACAACAGGAAATACATTATAAATTTGTCCAAATATAAAGGAAATCCTTTAGAAATACCAAGTATAGCAAATTGCTCTGGTTATTGATGGCAAACATACCGGATTGCCGTAATTTTGAATTTATATTAAATTTTTTTCACAATACTGGAACTACCTGACAAATTTGTGGTAAGCAAATTAGATTCACATTTAGTACCGCGAAAATTACTTGTCAAACATTGACAAATGAGAATTGCATTTTGTGCCGTTAATTTGCATCCCTGAGATCACACATCCCTGCTATATTCCTCCCCGAAATTCCTTGGAACTTCCATCGCTTCCTAGATACATTACCTTTTAAGAATAAATCCCAATACGTTGCCAGGAGATGCAAGGCACGTAACAATCAATGCCCAACAATGTTTGTTATTGCAAATTTGCATATTTGAATATGCAGACTGTGGAAGTAAAAGCACAGTTGTTATTTAATTACCTTTGTGTTCTGTTTCCCCAATGAGATGGCGGAGAAATCAAAGAGCCGGCCGATCCGAGGCAAGTGTGGAACCGAGAAGTCCCAGATGGAAGCAACGGTATGACCTGATCCTTTGGTTTATTCCTCCTGGTGATTTTTCTTATTTCATTTTTGCCTGATGTCATTGTTTCCGTTCTGTTAAAATTATTTTTACGCGGTCACTTGGTAGCATTTTTATCATAAAAAAAATGAAACGCCTTTAGGTTTTAATTGTAGCCCCCCCCCCGCCTTTGTTCTTTCAAAAAAAAAATGGCAGTAGGGTAGTTTTTCAATGAAATAAGAGTATATCCTGGTGTTTGATAACTGAAACAAGGCAGTGTAAAATATGCCTACCTTTTACCGTTGACGAATATCAAAAGGACCGTTTGTTGATTAATTTTTGAGAGAGCGATAACGTAAAGTGCAAAAAGACCGTACGAAAACAAAAATCATTATACTATATTTGTTGAATGAAAAAAAAGAGAGAAAGAAATAGGGTATAAGGGTCTCAGCTATTAAATGAGGATTTTTGTTTTTGAAATTTAAACGGGCCCATTTATTGATATATGTTACAATGGAGCCTACCATGACCGGGATATTTCTTCCCAAGACGGGTGGAGGGCACATTGTGCCTCCTTCCTAATTACCAAATGCTTCGACAGACTCTCCAAACATTTGGCGTGAATGTTGAGTGAACTACTTTATATAATGTCTATAATTGGTTGTTTGGCGGTGACCACAACATTTCGCTCTGTCAGATTTTGTACCCAGTTTGGTCACTACAGTATTTGTGGCATAATTTCTACGTTTTTTTAATTCAAATACAGTTTGGTGCAAATATATTCTTTGGTTCAATAATCATCCAATAAATAACCCAATTGCACGAAGTTACCGCTAGAGTGTGCCAAATCTTTCATTTCGTTTCATTCTTCGGTGTACTTAATGTACATCGAAATCGGACAAATCGTCCAAAGACTAAAATGTCTGATTTACAAGAGGATACAAATATAATTAGACAATCACAAGAAACAAACAAACATAACTTTAAGAGAATAGGCCTCCGGAAGGTTGGAAGTGGGATAGGGGCTCATTGTACCACCCCCTGTCCCGATAGTGTTTAATAAAAGTAGGAACACTTAATCTTATCTCATCAAATAAGTAAGAGTGCAGACAGACTTACAGCATGTACATCTATAGGCCTAGCTTTAAACTTGACCATGGTGGTTATTTTGTTCTTATAGCGAATACGTGGCGCAATCTGCTAGAACACGAGCTTAGTGAAGACATTGAGTTCTATGAGGCGAAAAAGAAGTCATCCAGGGATACCAAACGGGAGACTGTTTTGGAACCAGGCGAGTTACCGGTGCAGTACAGCAGAGACAGCCCCCCAGATACCTCCCCCGAGTCAGACATAGATTCTCCACCGACTAGGTCGCAGTCTTGTCATCAGAGTGACTCTTATTCAGGTATGAAATTGAAACTCATCAGGGTGGTCGTACTCACGTACTGTATACTCTGGCAAACCGAGCGGCGGCGGAACGGTTTTCAAAGGGGGGGGGGGGGCCAAAAAAGCCCCCCCCCCAAAAAAAGTGGGGACATCCGTGCTGAAAGGTCGACACGTATTTTTCACCGGACACTTGACCTCCGTTCAATCGAATAGTGGGGGTGGGAGGGGGGGGGGGCGGGTGCGGCTGGCACCACTTTCCAAAATAGGGGGCGCTCTTAACCAGCCATTATGCAGCAAACTACGCATTATGTGCCCATTTTTCAGGGCGCATTGTGAGGCTTTTGCGGTTGGGTTTTCATATTCCTCGTTTCTTTCAAAACTATCTATACCATTTTGGAAAATTGTTACTTGCAACAAATGTCAGAAACTTTTAGGGCTTTTTTTCATCTCGAGGGGGCATATTATGCTCGAGGGGGCATATTTATGTCCGCAACAGGGGCACTTCGGTAAATCTGGGGGGGGGGGGGGGAGTGCTCCCCAGCCCCCACTCCCAACGGTTCCGCCGCCCCTGCCACCCTCCTTTTTATCACCCAGAAACACCCCTTTTTATAACGGTACTAAAGGCTTTTGTATACGTCTAGGTTCTCCAATTTTTGTTTGTTTATAATTCGATTGTTATGTTTCTCTCTTGACTAGTTGGAGCATCTGTACTGTACTCGCCCGTGTACAGTGACAATGCAGCTGTGGTCATAGACAATGGATCGGAGATGCTCAAAGTAGGCTTTGGTGGCGATTGTGAGCCCAGGTTCACAATACCCTCGGTTGTGGGAAGATACCCTAGAGACGGGGTATCAGACTCAGACGACACTGGCAGAACTGCTTACATTGGTCACGAGGCGACCAGACTGGCGGGCGTACTGTCCGCTGACTTTCCTTCATCGGGTAAGTCTTTCCTTGGTCCCAATTTTTAATAAGAGTTTTAGCACTTCGACTCAGCTGATGTTTGCATGACTGGTAATTTGCATGACAATTTTTTTTTTTGGGGGGGTGCTTTTGTACTTACACTGATAAGTTAGATAAGTTAATTGATAGACTCCATTTCATGGCCTTTTGTTTTACTGTAAGCGGATAATCTATGTAAAGTGTAGCGGGAAATATTGCCATATAGTCAGTCACTGCACTTCGAAGGTTATAAGGAAATGCTGGCTTGCTGCATGCCTGTACATCCATATTTTATAAGGACTCAGCACCTAGCTGCAGCTTGGGCTCAGAGTTTCTGTTATCGCTGTTCCGTGGCTAACAGAACCAATATGAAACTGGATTCCTTAATATGCACGTTTTTCATGTTCGTACGTTATGCAAGTAGGCCTAAAGCAGTTTTAGCTAGCTGAGCAAAACACCTGAACATCAGGTAGCCAAGACAGACAGACAGACAGACAGACAGCCCGCCCGACATACAGACAGACAGACAGCAAGACAGCCAGACAGACAGACAGACGTGCTTTTTGCTTTTGAAACATTATAAGGTCACCGGGCAGTGCATTCCAAACTATAGATAATCAATCTTGCATCGAAGATAGGTTTCAACCATTGTGGTCTCGGGACCCCACAAACATTTTATCATGCCCATGGCATTTAAAAAATAAAATATAAACAAAACCGCCTAAATTTGACTTTTGTTTGGTCTCTGTAGAGGGTGTTATTCACGACTGGGAGGACTTGGAGCAAATCTGGGATCATGTATACACATCGCTACTGAATGTTGCACCTCAGGAACACGCCGTACTCATCAGCGAGTATGCTTCCACTGCCAAGAAGCAACGAGAGAAGTGTGTGCAGGTAATGATTAGATTACGTACGGACAAACTAGTCGGATAGGGAACAACGAACTGAGAATCTTATTCTTTAGAGATACATTTCCCGAATAAATACTATACTAGGCCGACAGATTAACATTTATGCACATTTAATTAAAGGCTAGTCTGTGTGCATCGATATTAAGAGTACAAATTGAAAGGCGTACATATGCACCTTTTAATTGACCAGATGTGGTTCTTCTCGTAACAATGCTTCTCCTGAAAATAAAAGAAATGTGTTGAGTTGACACATCATAGCAAACTTAGAAAACTTTGCTTCAAAACCCTTTTGCAAAAGGTCAAGTCCCTTGACTAATTCAGAAAGGGATGAAATGAATTGATTTATGAAATTCAATCATGGCAAATATTTTTTTCGCAAGAATTCTTGACTAACACGTGGACAGTGTGTAATTATTCCGATTTTTTCAAGTTAAAACAAAACATCGGATCTTTAGTATTCCGGGTGTTTCGAGCTGTACTTTCTCTACCTGAAGGTTCCAAGTTCGATCCGACTGGTTTTGTTTTGGTGCCGCGTAGAGTTTGTTTCTAATCACAACGTTATCTCAATCCAAATTCTCGTATTTTAAAACTTTTAAAATATTAAATGGATTTAGAGCACCCAAATGGAGAGACTAATAGTAAAATCTTACATTTCGTTTCTGCTTTCAAAGATATTGTTTGAGAGGTTTCAAGTGCCTTCGCTATGCCTTGTCAACCAAGGTGCCTTAGCCCTTCATGCCCAGGGCAACACGTCAGGTATGGTGCTGAGCAGTGGAGGCGGACTGACCGAAGTCGTACCCGTGTTAGATGGTTGCACCATGCACTCTGCCGTCACAACGGTAAGTCAGGATGGCACGGTGGTATATTTTCCTGGCTTGTCCATTATCTCGGCGACCTGGAGTTCGAAGTCCTTCGATTCCTTGGATTTTTCGTAGATTATCAATTTTGGGGTTCCCTCCCACCTATAAGCCTGAAAGTCACGAAGCTTTTTCAGGGCTCTTACCCTCTAAAACATCCGTGTCTGAATGATCTGAAATCTGGGTTTTATTTGGCTCAACCGTTTCCCGGGTAAACATTGTCAATTTTGACCCAGAAAGGTGTTGTTTTGACCCGGAAAGTGTCATTTTTGACCCGGAAAAGGGTTGAGCCAAATAGAATCCGGATGTTTTCAGAGTGTACTAGTTACAGTTTCTGTCTACTTTTGAGTATATTTCCGTCGTTACAAAAATAATAAAATATAAATTTCTTCAATTTAGTAGGCTACTTGTCTTAATCCCGATGGAGTTTATACCTCTCGTTCTTTTCAGAACCGTTTTTTTAGTTAAGAAATTATTCACACATGGTGGTTCCGCAAACCTTTCATTCATCATTCATAAGATATTTCAGTGATAAAAAATTCATTCAGCTTCCAATAAATGCACCAAGATTCTCTGCGTATGTTTCAAAATCTGAACTGTTTTACTAATGACGCCTTGCAAACAACATTTACATGTCTGATTTTAGTAAAAGAAATGTAACTTTGATTTTCGTTGCATTAGCTGAAATTCGCTGGTAGCCAGGTCACCCACCATCTTGGCTGTTTGCTCCAATCGGACAGTTCCTTCAACATGACGTCACCCTCTAAACTGGAGATCCTCAGAGACATCAAAGAAACTATGGCATACGTTTGCATGGGTAAGACAAAAGCTATATTTGAGTCCTAGTTAATGGTCAACTGGGAGGAAAATCAGTGTCCTAATTTCATCACATTCTTCAATTTTGCAATAATTCCTGTAAAAATTCCAATTTTTCCCCTGGACGCCAACCACTTTGAAGTAGTATGATGTTAACTGTTTTCTTTCTAAATTCGGTTCTGCTCCTAGACGTATATTGATATAGTGTTGACTACATTTAAAATGTATGATTGTCAAAGTAAGCCTCCAGACAACTCCATGACATCAACTTACATGTCTTGAGTGATCTATAAGACCTCAGAACCATTTGATAAATTTTCCCATAGTTAATAATAAAACAGCTCTTTTCAGCATCAACCATTCACTTATATCACAATCCATTGTTGTGTTATTCCTGCAGACTACGAGCGAGAGATGCAACGGGTAAGGCCTCTAGATCCCATAGAGTACAAGCTGCCCGACGGCAGCTCACTGGCCGTTATGCGCAAGGATCTATTCCAGTGCACCGAGCAACTCTTCCGGCCTGACCTTGGTGGATTGGAACAACGATCGGGAATACACGACATGATTCAAGAAACACTCAAAAGGTTCACTCAGATCTTCTTTAAACTAATAGCAGATGATTATACATCTCATTACCGGGTGAAAATTCCAGTTGAAACCAGTTAAACTGGTTCAACTGGTTTCAACTGGTATATTGTTAAACTGGAATTTGGTGACTGATTTAACTTGTTTTCAACCTGATAAATTGCAGTTCATAACTAGTTAAAACCAGTTCAAACCCAGTCGCCAGTTCGCGGTTGTTTAAACTGGAATTTTTAACCTTGGTAGCCTTAGGGCGCAATACGCCATAATGACTTGAAGTGTCAGTGATGTCAGTGACGGCGTGCTCAAAATTCAAATCTTAATAAATGATTAAATCTATAAGTCTTTGCCACGGCACGAAAGCCTCTTTGCACTATTATGTGCATCTTCAGCAGAATAATTTATTATAAGCTATGTACGCCAAGGGGGAGTAACCTTTGGTTCAAAATGCCGCATATCAACACAGCAGTCGACAAGACAGTATTATTCAGACAGTTTTTAACGATTAAACTTCAACAATTCATTCTTTGTGATTGAAATTGTCAATAGGTTTATTCTAATTTCCACCAAACATAGGCCTTGTGACTTTAATTTACACGTATACTGGTGATATAGTGTTAAATTCGTTTGTTCTTTTTTTGAAGTCGATTTAGAGGTGGACCTGAGCTCCTCACGAATAAGTCGATTCCAAAAGGAACAGTTTTGCATAGGAGAGGGCTGAAATCTGTACTTAAAACATACTGAATGATTGATTTTCAATGAAAAAAATATACTTCCAGTCTGAACTATTCTATTGATGGCCTGCATTGCATCCAACAAACGTTTCCCCCTGACTTTTCCTCTCCAGATGCGATCCAAACGTCTTACCTGGCATCCGTAAATCTCTCCTCCTCGCCGGGGGCAACACTCAGCTCAGAGGCTTCGGTGACCGTCTTCAGCTGGAGCTAGCCTCCGCCCATCTGCCCTGGTCTGTCTCCATGCCCCAGGAGCGGACAAACAGCGTCTGGATCGGTGGATCCCTGGTGGCCACCCATGATAACTTCACCCGGCGCTGCGTCACCGCCGCGGAATACACGGAACACGGACCGGCTGTGATGCACCCGAAATGCTTTTAGAAAGCGGCTGAGTAAACCCGGGAACTCCGTGGAGCTGCTGAGCACATGAATTTTCTAAGCTCAGAAAGAAAAAAAGGATTCAGCAAGCATAGATTATCAGCTCTTAACTAGGTCTCAGCTGGTTTTTGCTTAGAATATGTCCTAAGCAACATTTGTCTGTTTAGCAGCTCTACGGAATCGCCCTTGATCCAAGGAAATGGCATATCCCCCCCCCTCATCACGTTGACATCTTTTGCCAGGAAAATTAAACAACAACACCAACAACACCAACAACACCAACAACATCAACCACACTAACAACACCAACAACAACACCAACAACACCAACACCACCGTGTTAAAACCACCAACACCACCAACAACAACAGAACTGCGATTCCTGCAGCTACAGTAATAGGCATCCTCTATTGCAAAAAATCAGACGAAGATCAAGAAAAGTTGTAGCTTTGAAATTTGCACACACCAGCACGAATTAATTGAAAGAAAGACGTGAGGTTCACTGGTCATCCAAGATCGATGTTGTAAATAATAGAAACTACTCTTATAAGAAAAATATAATTCTTTGGCTTTTTTTAAAGTGTATTTATCTGTTTGGGTGTAAAAGTATTTTAGTAAATTACAAAATGCTTTGTCGCGATGAGAAAGATTGGCAGGCTCCAACTTAGCCAGATGAAGTGACTGAGGTATCTATAAATAATTGAGGTATTTATCTATTTAAAAATATAATCTAATATCGTAGTTTATACATAGGCCTGAGGGTTAACAAATTATTTATGGCAACTGTACAGAACCCGTGTCTTCTTCCCTTTCACATAATTATGTATGAGCATAGTATTTTCAAGTTATGCAGTAGGCCTATGACTAAAACAAAATAAAAGTGTTGTCCCCGAGGAAGACAAAGTATCTGAGGTTAAATACAATTTCATGTTTCAATTACACCTGAGTAATACATTTTTTCCCCAAACTTTTAACGAAAAAGTCTTCAGACGACTCCCGGTCCAACATCAAATCTCCGAATGTTGACATTTTCTTTGTATAGCTTAAGTTAAAAACAATTGATCGAACTGAGTGCCTGAAATTATAGATAAATATTTTAAAAACAAATGTTTGCCTTCCACTGCGTCCTCAAACACCAATACCCATAGGCCTCTAATATGATGCAGTAACGTATATTTTCTATAAAGAGGTTTTTCAAGTAATAGAAATGTCATATTTTTGATATGCGAGTAGCACACCATAACCCGTTTCTGAGGAATGTTTACTCTTTTGGAGTGGTTATAAACTCATTGCTGAAATCTTTGTACTTTGTAAGGTTTTATGTTCATTCTGGTCTAGCTAATGCCCGTAAAAATGTCATCGTGTGTGCATGGATTTAGATAACACACAACAGGAATCGAGTTTTTGGGAAATGGAAGATGTAAAGTGTTGAAAGATACACAATCTTTCCCTCATTGGTGCCACTGTCGTGAATTTTGACTTGTATAAAAAAACAGTGCCTTTCACGTTTTATGAGACTCATCCTCACACGTGTCTGTGAGGTTTTATCGATCCGTTGTACAAAGAGGTCAAAAGATTTGCATTTCATAATCCATCCTTTACCGTTTTTTGGGGGTCCTTTATTCGCAGAGCCGGATGGCGTTTGCCCTATTCGATCAAACATTTCAATAGGTTATTTAAACCGAGTACATCTAAACATTTCGGGCATAGACCTTCTTAAGTGAATATACTATTTGACTAATTAAGAAAGGAAAAGTGTTTTGAGGGAAGAGTTGTATTCTATGACCGTCATCAGGATCACAGTCTTCCTCCTAGTTGCAAAGCCTTAACATTTTCATTGTTCAGCTTTCAAAGTTCAACTTTCAGTATCACCATAACTGTTTGAAACTGTGAATATTGAGCATTAATTCTGTTGTAATCCTGTTATGACATATCATCATGTCACCACAATTCAATCGCAAACAAACAGGAGTCAGTCACAAGCACTCCAGTCTCAAGTCGAATGACCAACTATTCAAATGCACAACGGCATTGCTTTGTCACTGTTCGTCCCTCGTGACTTGAGACATGACCAGTGATTTGACTAGTGTTTAACCCTAAAAGGACCGGGGCGGAATCCTCCCCCCCCCTCCCTCAACTTTTTCCCGCAATAGCCTTTACAATTTCTTTTCGCGACCTGTGCTGTTATGACTTTTTAGCCTCGAGCCTTGCACATCTTTTGATACCAAAAACATAACAATCGGACCACGGGTTGCCGCGCAGCGAAACATTTTCCGGCGCTACGCACCGTGAAAACTGATTTTCCCATATACGTCGTGTACATAGGGCGGAATTACCATTCGTACATATGAATAATTAATTAACCATAATTCCAAACCCTTCCACCTATAGTCTTGAAATTTCTTGGGTATGTTCATGATGAGTTGCTCTATGCATGTCAAAAATAACCCGGCCCTTTTAGGGTTAATCCACTTGTGGTTGAGCTGTGATTGACTCGACTTGACCATGCAGACTCTGCCTCTTGACCGCCTTAAAGGTTACTGTTTACAACAGCATTGCAGCGAATAGATGTCTAAAGGAAGGGGTATTTCATGATCGATTCCATTTGGATATCGGTTTCATTGCAGAAATGGTACCAGGTTTGTATAAAAAAAAAATATAACGTGCCCAATTGAGACCCCAGGTAGATGAGATTTTAACTTAATTGGTGCTTTCTTTATGTGTGACGTTGGTCTGTTAAAAATCATTTCAGCACCAAAGCATTTCATTCTATCCCACCTCTGTAAATACATATCAATGTAGGGTGTTAAATCAACCTTTACTATAGGTGTGTGAAAATGCAATAAAGTTGTTGAAATTATTTCGGGTTCGTGTTGTTTTTGTTGGGTTTCCTGCACGCAGCGATATAGCTGTCCGTATACGCCGGTTTTGCGAACGGGGGTTGTGGCTGGAGATGTGAAGACTTCCCCAATCCTTAATATTGTTGTCGCAATTTACATGTGGGGCCTTAGACGATTAACACGCCACCAACTTAGTCCGTACATTAAAGACCTGAGCAGACGGAACATTGGGTCTAACAAGAACACTCACACAAATCAAATAAAAGATTGAACAACGATATTGACTAATTGGGGAACCGCCAACACAGGAATGGATAGCTCAGCTGGTAAGATCAACGGAACGGTTATCCGGAAGTCGCAGGTTTAAGCCTCGCTCAGTCAATCTCTTTGTTCAGTTTCTTTGTTTCAAACAAAGATTTCACGGTTTGATTAAGGCCTTATTTGTCTGTTTCCTTTTCTGGTGGCGGAGAAAATCCAACCTTTATCTTTTTGATGTATTGCACGATTCAACAAATTATTGTTGACTGCTGTGATGTAGGGCGAGATTTCGGACGTCCCTTAAATTTGAAAGATGTCCCGCCTTGTGGACGGTAACCTTAACGTTATGAAGCACATTGTAAACATGCATGGCAACTTCAATGAGAGCTATGCAGTGCTCGATGGCAGATCGCATCACGCAAGCAGAATCGTGTATATCTAGAGGTACAGTTCGCTCGTACAGTCATCCATCTTAAGTTTTAATCCATCTTAATTTTTAATCACCATTAATCCAGATGCGATATGCACCACCAAACACTTTGACACATTTTTTTGTTGAGGAAAAGAAGACGTTGCAAGGCATCAAGGGCGGATCCAGGGGGGGGGGGGCAAAGGGGGCCATGGCCCCCCAAAAAAACGAAACCAATTTTTTTTTTTTTTTATGTGACATCGCAATAAAGGCAGGCAATGAGTACACCACCATCTTTTCCTCAAAAACCATTGGTTAAAGTGGTCAGAAATTGCCTCAGATCGCATCACAGAGCATCTAGAATCCTACAATTTTTGGGGCCCTTAAGCGGGCCCCGAACCCACGCCGTAATTTTTTTGACCCACTTTTTGGGGGACCAACATTTTTTTTTGGCCCCCCGAAAATTGTGTTCTGGATCCGCCCTTGCAAGGCATCGCCTGCACCACCTACCTGTACTCATGCAGAAATTAAAGGTACTTGTTAAGAAAAAAAGGGCACTTGTATATAGCACCCCCACTGGCTACGCGTATAGGATCACTTGCATTTATCACAAAAGTGACCCACCGTCGAATTATTATCAATAAAGTTTACTTAGATTCAGTGGCGGTGCCCGACTCTGCAATTCTGGGCATTCCTCATAGCCAAGGTGGGTGCCTCATATGGTTAAGCCATGACCTGCACTTTAATCGATTCAATTTTTAATGATATTGCTTTTTAAGCGGACCTCTTCGGGTTTAATTTAGCATTAAATAGTCATGACAGAAACCTTTGGATTGGTTTCCTTGGACAACGTCCATTACTCGTCCATCGTGGTGAGGTCAGACCAAAGTTCCGGAATTGCTGCGGCGACGCGGTTTTCATTTTTTTTTCAAGCTTGGATTGTACTGACAATTAAGGTGGGTACTATTTTGCTTTTTGTGCACATTGGTGTCCTCCATAATTTGCCTATAGTCTTGAAATTTCTTGGGTATGTTCATGATGAGTGCTGTTGCTCTATGCATGTCAAAAATAACCCGGCCTTTTTAGGGTTAATCCACTTGTGATTGAGCTGTGATTGATTCGACTTGAACATGCAGACTCTGCCTCTTGACCGCCTTAAAGGTTACTGTTTACAAAAGCATTGCAGCGAATAGATGTCTAAAGGAAGGGGTATTTCATGATCGATTCCATTTGGATATCGGTTTCATTGCAGAAATGGTACCAGGTTTGTATAAAAAAATATATATAACGTGCCCAATTGAGACCCACGGTGGACGAGATTTTAACTTAATTGGTGCTTTCTTTATGTGTGACGTTGGTCTGTAAAAATCATTTCAGCACCAAAGCATTTCATTCTATCCCACCTCTGTAAATACATAACAATGTAGGGTGTTAAATCAACCTTTACCATAGGTGTGTGAAAATGCAATAAAGTTGTTGAAATTATTTCGGGTTCGTGTTGTTTTTGTTTGGTTTCCTGCACGCAGCGATATAGCTGTCCGTAAACGCCGGCTTTGCGAACGGGGGTTGTGGCTGGAGATGTGAAGACTTCCCCAATCCTTAATATTGTTGTCGCAATTTACATTTGGGGCCTTAGTCGATTAACAGCCACCAACTTAGTCCGTACATTGAAGTCCTGAGCAGACGGAACATTGGGTCTAACAAGAACACTCGGCGCAAATCAAATAAAAGATTGAACAACCTACTGCACCACCTACATAAACACATGCAGAAAAGGCACTTGTTAAGAAAAAAAAGGCACTTGTAAATACCACCCCACTGGCTACGCGTATAGGATCACTTGCATTTATCACAAAATTGACCCACCGAATTATTGTCAAAAAGCTTACTTAGATTCAGTGGCGGTGCGTGACTCTGCAATTCTGGGCAGTCCTCAGCCAAGGTGGGTGCCTCATATGGTTAAGCCATGACCTGCACTTTAATCGATTCAATTTTTAATGATATTGCTTTTAAGCTTTTTAGTTTTAAATAGTCATGACAGAACCTTTGGATTGGTTTCCTTGGACAACGTCCATTACTCGTCCATCGTGGTGAGGTCAGACAAAAGTTCCGGAATTGCTGCGGCGACGCGGTTTTCATTTTTTTTTCAAGCTTGGATTGTACTGACAATTAAGGTGGGTACTATTTTGCTTTTTGTGCACATTGGTGTCCTCCATGATTTGCCTTGGTGCCCTCCATCATTTACCTAAGTGCAATTTCCCCATTCCTTGGAGCTCCTTGGAACAAAAATGTGAGGAGGTGCGGCAATACAGGGCGCTGTTGTAGCTACCGCTGTTGTAGATACCGCGCATGATTGAAATAGACGCGCGCGCTGACCAAACACCGACTATTTCTTTTTGGCCTAAAAGGCATTAGCAGTATATTAGTTGTTTTCGTTTACAATAAACTGCTGCATTTTTAATCTGCATTTACAGCGCCATTTGTAACGGGTTAATTAGTAATGTGCTTTAATCCCTTAACAAGGACAAGCAATAAGTTAAAGCATCCATCTATGACCAAGAGTCAACTAGGCATCCAATATGCCATTTAAAGGCATCTCCTGTCTCTGGACCTTCAGTCCATCACCTTTTTTCCATGTCGAGCATTTCTATCTTTTGCTAATGCACCTGTTAAGAGTTTACTGGTAAGCAGTATGGCAGTTCACAGCTTGATATTGTTTGCAACTCTCGTGGCTGTTACGTATACATCTGGGGGTAAGTATTTGGTGTCTTGCATTGAAATGAATTCAGTTGTTTAGCAGCAGGGCAGACAGAAACCTCGTGTGAAAGAGCCTAAAGCCGGCCTCAGGTCGACCTGAGGTTGACCTCAGGTCGACGACACAGATCTGTTGGCGATTTAGTTTTCAGGATCAAGCTGCGTAGGCCGAGCTACGACCGTTGGGAACAACTCAGTCGCCGATTTTTTTTGCGACCTGAGTGTAACTGCGTCGATGTTAAGACGATCGGCATCAGCCGGCGATCAAAAAAAAAAAAATCAACAGTCGCAAGAGTGGACAAAATTTCAACTTCTGCGACGTGTTCCGCGACCATCACACGATTTCTCAGTTTTGTGAACTGAGCATAATTTTTTTTGCTTGATGGTGACGGTTCCGTCGTGGCTCAAGCAAATCGTGGGTCGACCTGAGGCCGGCTTTAGGCTCATTTTATACGCCCCGCACTGTACGCACTGAATGGGAAGGGGTAAGGGCCTCCTTGACCATTCTCTTCAAAAAGCATCTTCCCCCTCTCTGCCCACTCTTTCTCCCCCTGTCTCCCAGTTCCCAATTTCCAGAGAGAATACACTTAGAGACCTGAGGGAATATTTTACAAAGGTCTGAACAGTTGTTGCATAACTCATGCAGCTACTATAATAATGTTTCCCCGTCATTTTCAGAATTGCAATGCACTGAACCTTACTTTCACAAGTTCGGTAACACGTGCTTTGCAATCAGCAGTGGCAGCCAGGGATTCGGAGGAAACACTCAGACATGGCAAGATGCCTCTTACATATGCGGTAATATGAGCGCTCAGCTGCTTATCACAAACACGCAGCAGCAATTCGATGATGCCGTCTCATTCATGGCATCTAGTAACGGTGTGCAGTTTGCATGGATTGGATGTACATCACTGTCGGGGGCCAACTACACTTGCCAGGATAACAAGGCATATTACTACGCAGCCGCAGAGTTCGATGGTTTCTGGGGTAAGTT